CATTGGCGCTGACAGCCTCCAGCCCGGCCTCTGTGAGCCGTGAGCAGTCAGTGCTGGGGAGACACCCTTCGCCCTGCTGCTGAGGGAAGAGGAAAGTGCCTTCCGTCCCAGGGGCCTGTGTGGCCTCGGGCAGCATTTCCCACCCAGTGGGACTCACTGCATCAAGGCCTTTCCTTGATGGATTCGTCAGTACTTTGGTCCACTCTTCCTAAAACTGTTGGGAGTTTTGTGCTTGTTTTTCATGTGAACATTGCTATCCTTGTATCCTTACATGCTTTATTCTATCTGCTGTTCTTAGAGGTTAAACTAAAGGTCTTAATTATTTCTAATGATGGTAAACAGGTTAAATTCTGAGAAGCAAAAATCTGATGCACTGTTCTCAAAGATATCTAGTACCTTACGATTTTCTACTTGAACCCAATTTTGTGAGGGTGCAAAGTAAATGATGTTGAATATGGTACTCTGTCTGCCAGACCATGCAAGAAAATTCATGGCAGTAGAACACAAAGTTCTTTCAAATCATCAGGCAGGAATGTTTTCGACCCTCTATGCAGGGCCTTCTGATGATCCAATTTATTAGTTACATGTGTGGCACCCTGAGTAGCAGGAAGGAGAGCTAGAATACTGTTTCTAAGAATAAACCCTAGTGTTTAAAAGGTAGAAAGCCACTAATCGTGAGAAACTGTATTTGGGGAAGTGGTTCATTTTCCTTGAACACTGTTTAATTAAAGCATCCTCTGAAACATCTGTAAGACAGACAAAAAAACCTTTTGTCTCCTTTTTAGGAAAAAGTATAGAGGTGCTGGATTGTGAAATAATCTGGATAAATTCCCTCAGATTCTCTGGTTTCCATTTTGTTGAAACGATTTCTTTGCTATTCCTTGGTGATTTGACTTGTACTTTTGCTTGTGAATTTATCCCTTTAAGGAGGACTAATATCAAGAACCTTTTTGTTAAGCTTCTATTCACATATAACGATCTAACTTTCCTAATGTTTATCATTTATACATTTCTTTCCTCTAGCTTCAAAGGAACATTTTGGCATCTAATCCCAGGGTCACAAGATTCCACATTAACTGGGAAGATAACACAGAAAAACTGGAAGATGCAGAGAGCAGTAATCCAAATCTACAGTCACTTCTGTCAACAGATGCTCTACCTTCAGCGTCCAAGGGGTGGTCAACATCAGAAAACTCACTGAACGTCATGTTAGAATCCCACATGGACTGCATGTGACCAACCACCTGCCATCCTGTTAGTGCAGATTAAGCTATTAAAAACAGAACTATTTCCCTGAAATTCCGTAAGTTCATAGTCAAGACACAATGTGAAGAATTTCATCCTGTAGAAAGTTTGTAAGAAAACCAGTATTTGGGCAAATTGTGGAATATAAATACAACTATTTTTAAGTAATTTTTTCTCTAATGCGTTATTTTATTTGTTCTGGAACTAATCTGATTAAAGCATATATATTATTTTCTTCTCCTTTATATGTAATTAAAGCACTTATAAAAAAATAACGAATCTTTTGACTAGATTGTAAAGCTACCTTACTTAGCCTCCTGGACAGTAATCTTTGGACCACTATTTTACTGGCCTTTGAAAAGAACAAAGCTCACTTACACTAAAATGCTTCTTCCTTTGAAAACCTAAAGTGTGGTTTTAATTTCAGGGGCAGATTTGCATTCGTAATGAAAGGATGCCCTTGAAAAGGGAATCTGCAGTCAGCTATATGCTACCAAGAACTTTAGAATTCAGTTCTTCTAGGCCACCCCAAAACAAAGCATTTTGTGGCTACTATTACTGCTCATGCAGTACTGGACAGCACTTCTAAAATTATTACAACCGTGACTTAAGTGTTCATAAGATCTGCTGGCTGTGGTTTTTATAACAGTTTAGGACATCAGAGCCCATGGGTTGTTCATCAGTGATTTCAACATAGGAAGAGCAGATGTACGAACTCCCTCAGTTTAAGAACAGGAGACTAGTGGCTCAAGCCTGTTCAGCAGATTTATAAAAATACTGTAAACTTAGAAGTTCTTGTGAGAGATCCTCTGCCAGTGGCAGTACATATATAAAAACTGGATTTAGAGAGGCATGTCAGGCTTTGTCACAATAGGTAAGTGACTGAAAATCTGTACTGCATCTCTCTGACAATCATAAAGAATAAGCCAAGCATACGTGTGGTGGGCACCTTCCAGAGCTTTTCCAGGTAACACGTCTGAACAGCAGTGTGGGAAAGGACTTCATTAAATGTACCAAGTGGTGGTTTTTTTAATGGTTATTTCTCTCTGATGAGAGCTAGGTATTTCCTTGAAAAAGTTTCTTACGCTCCAGTAAGTTTAGGGCAGAATATTTCCATTTGGCTTGTTAACAAGACAGCCCTGTGATACAGGTTATGCAGTGCCTTCATACCTAAACTTATCATGTACTTCTGAAGCTTTTACTGTAAGGAAAAGGCATCTGTCTAAGCATAGTCTCTTAAGTTGTACATACTTCCTGTCATTCTAAAGTGAATTTATGAAGCAAAGCTTTGCTAACTTAAACTTTGAAACAATATACCAGATTAGAATATTGTCCATCACACAGTTCACAGATTTTAAAAGTAAAATATAGGGCTGGGGATTTAGCTCAGTGGTTCTGCTGCCTGCCTGCAAATGCAAGGTCCTGAGTTCGATCCCCAGTATCAAAAAAGTAAAATACGCCTGAGGATTAAAGTATATAAAGAAAATCTTATTTTTGTCTAACTGCAATTAAAATGTTAAAATATTAAAGTGAAAATAAAAACAATACTTTCCAACAAAGAACACAGTGATTAATATAGCAGGAACAAAATATGTCCTTGTAGAAATAAAACATACATAACCCAAATCACTAAAGCAATTCACTGCTGAATTTTTATTCTAACTAATTATAAAGATCATTTTGTGCTGACATCAAATAGGTTTTTATATCAATTTGTAAACAACTATTTTTCATAGAACTTTGGGATATGATTACTTTTGGTTTTTTGAGATAAGGTCTCACTATGTAGCCCAGTCTGGCCTTGAACTCAAGGTGATCCTCCTGCTTCAGCCTCCCAAGCGCTGGAATTACAGGTGTGTGCCACCACGCCTGGCTCATTACCTGTTATTATCTTAATTTTAGGGTTATATAATACAATTTTAAACTAGAATGTGACAAAGTAGAAAGGTTCAGATTCTAAGAAGAAAGGAGCATGTACTTTTTCCCCAGCCTCATCATCAGACAATAGCTAACAGGCTTCAGTCTGGTGCCCCCGCCGCCCCGATTACAGTAAGTAGTTTTGTCTGGGGAACATAACAGGAGCATGTTACTTTACCATGAGGAGACAGGTGAGTGGGCTGGAAGGAAGGAGGGTAGCATTTGGGCAGAGAAAGCCACGAAGTCTAGGGAAGCAGTGTGAATTTACGCTGATAACCTTATGTGACCTTAGGTTTCTGTATCAGAACTGGAGGTTTCTAGTTTTACCAAGAAAGTTGGTGGCAGCAGTTTTCACAGCTTTTTTTTTCTTAACCATAATCCATGGTGTAAAATAAAGCATGTCCCCGCAACCCAAGTACATATTTACATTAAAAATCTTCACGAAAAGCCACCCTTTCACGCACCCTTACTGTGTGCAGTATGACTTCCTACGGAGTTGCAGTACAGAGGTTGAAGAAAGGCTACTCTGGTCCTTTGGGTGGGAGAGAAGTAGCAATTAATTTCTACATGCACTATGTCTCTTCTCTCATGTTAAGACTATGATTTTGCATAAAAAAGTGCTCACACTTCTACACAATTTATTAACACTGAATCAGCAGCCATTCATTATGAAATGTCCCAAATAGTCTGTTGACTTTCCATGCAGTTACTTAAGCATTCCCTGTAATCACTTGGGAAACACCTTTATTTCTTATTGCTGATACCATCTTTCACAGAGCTTTAGAACCTTGGGTCATAAGGATTTAAAAATGCACAGGAAGTATTCTTTATGTATTCCTGCCTATTTCCCTTCCACTATTTGAACTTGGTCCACACCTCTCAACTTACAGATCCCTTGTCAGTGTTTATTATGGACTGTCCAGTCATGTATATTCTGAAACCCAAAAGCTCCACACAGGACCAGTAGCAGTGGAGCATTTTCTGTTGTATGACAAGTTTTAAAGGATAAACTGGTTAGAAGCTTGAAGTTAGGCCACAGAACTTAGGTTCCCTCATTAAGTAGAAAATTACATACTTAAAATGTGTGAACCCCAACATCACTTTTTAGAAGAAAAGAAATAATACTCCAATCAAAATTAAAAATATAAAGCAGCATCAAAACACATTTTAAAAATGAAATTTCCCCAAGTTCCCTAAGTCACTTTAATCTTGACTATCTACAAAGGCTTTTTAACCCTCCGTGCTGGAGCCTACAGTGAATAAAGGACGCTCCCTGCTGCAGAGGGGAAGCGTGCTGTCCAAATGCCACCAGACAAATCTCTACCTATGAGCTGCTGTGGCCCAAGACTCAGGGGTATGAGAACACGTTAAGCTCTCTGCCATCTAATTTTCTAAAGTGCAGTGTCCTCGATTTTACTGTGATGTTCTGTTTGCTGAATTTTCATAAAATGCCAGATGATGTGTACATTTTCTTGGACAAATAAATATGAAAGTAATCACAAAAAGAAAAATTATAGCAGTTTAAAACACAAACAGAAGTGAAGGTAGATCTTTTAAAATACTTTTTCAGAGCTACAAAGGCAGTATTACATATTTCCTTCAATTTGGCTGGAATTCTTAAAAAATTAGTTTGAAATTTATCCTATAGGTATTTTTTCATCAAAAGAAAAAGTGTTAGCTTTTGTAGTAAAAATAAATTACTTGAATTAGCTCAGTGGTGCTGCCACCTGCCTTGCAACCACGCAAGGTCCCAAGTTTGATCCCTGGTACCATAAATAAATAAATAAATAAATAAATAAATAAATAAATAAATAACTTGAAGCTGTTACATAAAATACCTGCACTGGTAGATCCGATTCCTGTCGTCAGCACAGATCTTGGTGTAATCTTGGCTGCGTATTTGAGGAACTGGGATTTCCCGGTGCCAGGATCCCCAACCAACAGAAGATGAGATTCACCTAGAATAAAGTAAATATGTAGTTTTACATTTCTACAAAAGGACTCATGAATAAATATAATAAATCAAAAAAATCCACTTGAATGCCCAATTTAAAAATGTGAATGTTAAATTTTTAAAAAAATTATTACAGCAAAAAAAAATTATTACAGTAAAGGGCACATTGCCATTAACCTCCCTCAAAATCCTTCCCCTTACTTCAAACACACTTATCCCACAGTTCTTGCCACGTTTTGAAGTAGTTCTGGAAGTCCTCTTTTGTGTCTTTACTTGTACTGTTGTGGCTGCCTCAGAGTCCTGAATCAATTCAAAATGTTTATTTTTTATGGTCATTGTAACTTTGGGGAAGAGCCAGAAGTCACATGGTGCCAGTGCTGATGAGTAAGATGGATGAGGACATAGCATCAGGTGGGTTTTGTTTTTTGGTACCAGGGATCGAACTTGGATCCTTGCGTTTGCAGAGCATGCGGTGAAACCACTGAGCTAAATCCCCGGCCCCTAGCATCAGGTTTCTAATCAGCTTGACTTCTGTTGGATAGCACTTAGCAGCACTATTCACCATATTTTTGATCAACCCTCAGACTAATGAAAGAAGACTTTCAGAACTGCTTCAAAAAGTAGCAAGAATGATGGTATAAATATCTTCAAGGCGAGGGAGAGTAATTTGAGGGGAATTAGTAGCAATATGTCTTTTATTATAATAAAATTATTTAAAACATGCATGGTATATTTTGATCTCCCTTTCTATATTTTATATAATTTTGGGGGAAGTCTCACTATGCAGTCCAGGCTGGCCTCAAACTCAAAATCCTGCCTCAGCCTCTGGAGTCCTGGGATTCCAAGTGTGCCACAACGCATAGCCTCACGTGGTATTCTTGATGTATACTTTTATTTATTTATTTTGGATCGAACTTGGGACCTTGTGCTTGCGAGGCAGGCAGCAGCACCACTGAATGATTTTATCTTTTTAAATACCAAACTACTGTGATTAAGGCTTTCCATGCAAGTCACACAGGGATTTTACTCTTTTATTTAGGTACTCTCAGTGTTGAGGGCTAAGTGCTTTACAAATACTGAAGTGCTTAAGATGCTACCAGTTAAGTGAAAACATTTTCATTTTATGAAAATTTTAGTAGTTTTATAGTAAAACAGCTATCTTAAAGTAATGAAATACTCTTAGTTTCAAATATACCATAAAAACATGACTGTCCCACAGGACATACCAGCTCACTGGCCAAGCAGTGACTCAAGAATTCCAACAAGAAACTCCTATTTAAGTTCAGCATCCAGGGGAGAGGCTCACAACTAACAGGTGGTTGAGACACAGAGCACACATAACCTTCACCCGTGGTATCCTGTACTGGGCTGGATGGGTTTGGAGGCCCTGTGGTAACAGACTGGTTTACAGTAATTTATTTTACTCCTTAGGTTCACTCTTGGGTTATTACTCCCCATACGAGGGATGCTCAGGTCGATCAGTTGTGTGAGCTGCAGAAGAGCTTCCTGCCATCCACACAAGACCAGAGTCACCTCTGCAGGACTGTGTGATCTGCAGTTCTCCTGGCAGATGGCACGTCTGCTGTCTGCCAGCAGAGGGGGCTCACAGGCACAGGGCTGAGAGGGGCAACCTGACAGACCCCAGAGATGATAGGAGACTTAAGGCCACTGCCTCTAACGCTGTCTTCTTGGGGAGAGACCAGGGCTCTGGTGACAAACAGTGACAGGAGTGTGAGGATATTCTTTTGGGCCCCTTTACAGACTTCCGCACAAGTGTATACCCACTGAGAAAACGGTTTCTTCTGTCTTTCTGGAATTTGAGAAAGTAACTTCTGATAAACATAGGAGGTGCACTAAGTATGAAATATTCAGACAACTGTCAACTTTAAGGGGCTACCTTTAGAAAGTAAAGCTCAACAAGCAGTTTTATTCAGGAAACAAAAGTCCAGCTTCTCTCCTGGTACTTTCGTATTTCTCAGAAAGTTTAAGCAGGTACTGACCTCTGACCCGCGTTCCTGTCGCATCAGTCCTCTGAATCCCACCAGCCAGGACCATGGCCACAGCGAGCTTCACCAGATACATCCCGAACACCTGCGGACACAGGCTGGCCAGTATCTCATTCCTTCCTGGGAAAGCAGAAAGATCAGAACTCATCAACGGCTTCCAAGAAGCCCTCACTGAAATCTCCTTTCTGTCCCAACTGACCACCCTTCTATAAATGTATGCTTCCTACAAATCTAAAGTGATCAGAAAGGCCAGTCCAAATTACTAAAGAGTGAATAACTAGTCTGAGTTTTAAAAGTCCTTTTCTTAACGTCACGAGAGGAAAGTCTGCCTATTATTTCTGGGTGCTATCTGCTTCAATTTCCAGAACTCCATCATATTTCAGAAAGGACATAAGAAAGGAGTCTTTGCTGCCTCATCTACCACTCAGCAGGCCAGTGTTATTTTCTTAAAATAATACTAGCTGTACTTCATAGTCCTTTCAGGGAAACTGCTCCCCTGCCTAAGGCAAAGGAGCATCTCGGAAGCCAGTCAGATTGTAACAGCCTGAACCTGAAAAGAGGTAGCTGAAACTCTCTGAGCTCCTCCAAAAGTGGAAGAGAAAGGAGAGAAGGAAAATAAACCCACTCCACAAGTCAGTTCAGCATTTGCTCTGGGCTCTTTGGTAAATTCTGTTCTTTCTATAGTAAGTGACTGGAGAATCAGGTCTTAAAACAGATCATTACAAGGGCCGGGGATTTGGCTCAGTGGTTCTGCTGCCTGCCTCGCAAGTGCAAGGACCCGAGTTCAATCCCTGGTACAAAAAAAAAAACAAAACAAACAAACAAACATTTCACTTTGGGCAGGGCATTTAGCTCAGTGGTTTCACTGCCTGCTGCTCAAGCACAAAGACCCGAGTTCGATCCCAGGTACCAAAAAAAAAAATCCTTACAAACTAAAATGCTAGCAATCTAAGCTAGAGCTCTTGAATTCTTTTGTATACTTTAAATTAAAAGAACTATCACTATTTTAAGTTCTGTTCTCAGAAACAGCAAAACATCGAGTATGAGACTCTGCCTCTGCAGTCCACGGATAAAGCATTCCATCCAGCCCCTGGCCTAACCCATTTATCTACACGGTTCTAACAGGCCTTCCCTTGAGCCTGTCCACGACTTACAGCCCCAAACACAAAGGCTGCCTTTTGTAAAATCAAGCTTGTGTTTGGGGTTTTTGGCACTGGAGATTGGAGCCAGGGCCTTGAGCATGCTATGCACACATTCTACAATTGCGCTTCCTCCCCAGCCCTGCAGGAGCCAACACAGGCGCAGAAATGGTGGAGACAGAATATCCTTTGTACGAAGGGGCCAGAGAGAAGAGACTTATAAGTCCAGAAGTAAGGCCAAAAGATATCCATCCCTTTCCAGAGACAGCCTAGAGAGAAAAGGTCAAGAATCTACGAGATAAGGCCTCAGGGCAAGCACATCAGTTCTGACCAGAACCAGGGATTGCACAAGTAGAGAAAAAAGGACAGGCCAAGAAGCTGGTGTAAGAGTAAGCAAACAGCTTACAATCCCAGCAGTCCAGAGGCCAGGGCAGGAGGAATGCTACAAGTTCAAAGCCAGCCTGGGCTACACAGCCAGACCTTGTCTCAAAATGAAGCAACAGCAACAAAAAAACCCCCGCAACAAACAAAAAAGCATAAACTGACCTGGAGACACCCAAGCCAAAAGTGCTACGGAACCCAGTGGCAAAGCGCACAGGCTCTGGCTCGCGTTTGGACTGAATCCAGACTAGGGCTGAGCTCGGGTGAGTCTCACAAGCCCTCTGCCTCCATTTCTTTATCTGCACATGCAGATGGTAATTGCACCCATATGGGATTTTTGAAGATCAAAGGAGTAAATGTACAGCACATAGAAAAAGGCAGTACCTGGAACGTAGTGAGAGCTTCTTAACTATTAATTTTTATTTTCTGAATTATCTGTGCTTGTCTCTGATCTCCAGGTTTCCTCGAGTGTAGCCAACACAAAGCTCCACTATGAAGGCAAGGCTAGAGTAACAGAAAGGAGAAGGGAAGGGAAGTGCCATATCCTCAGCGTGTTGTCTAGGCTGGAAACCATGATTCCTTGCATCATGGCGTAGAAGCTTCCATGGCTGTTATCATGGAAGAGAATGCATTAGGGGAAAAACTATCCCCATCTCCCCATCCTTCCCAAATTCCTGGCTACAGAACATCTCTGCAGTGCAGCGATTGATGGCCAAGATTACCCACTCTAATGGCACAGCCGTTATCTCAGTGAAGAAAGCTGCTCTGATCTAAGATAACTGAGTCACTCACTCCAGGGTGGGTTCAGATGGCCCGCAGACAGCCCCACATTTGGTGTTCCGGCCAGCAGCATCCAGGCACCAGGATAGAGGGGTTCTCGAGGGCAATGCGGACTGGAGTCAAACCCATGAGCCTCACCCTAGTCGATACCCACAGGATCCAGAGGCAAGTCAACCTCCAAGAGGAGTGGTCAAGCAATCTCTGGCTTCAGGCCATCTTCACCTCTCCTCCCCACCAAAGCGTGCACGCACACACACACACACACACACTCACACTCACACTCACATGCTCTGAAGTAGTCAGGTACAGTGCCCTGGTACCTGGTATACAGGAAAGTTCATTCATACCCCCCTGCCAAAATGCTGCCTCATCTCACTTCCTACTTGCATTTCTCATATTTACTTCTTTTTTTCTAGTAAAGTGCTTACTTAACAAGGTCAAAGTGTTGAGGACCCTGGGCTCTTTTCCACCTAGATCAAATAAAAGAGGTCAGGAACTACTATATATGTCTTACATACATCAGTTTTAAAAATTCCACAAAATAAAAGCAAACTGCCCATATATAGGCAAATGGAACTTCTATTTTATGCAGTAGTATCTACCTAGTTCAGCATGTGATTTAAGAATAAAATAGTCAAATAAAATAAAATAGAATAAAATAGTCAACATAGATTTGAGGAAAAGTTTATTCAAGAGTCTATTACTGGCTTCACTATATTTTCTCAGATGCCTACAAGGGAAAATGAAAACAAGAAGATTTAATTGGTGTTTTATACACTTGGGGATTTTTCGATAAAAACTACACTCTGCAGACCTAGAGGCTGTTATCTTTTACTTGGTGTGATTTCACCTGAGTGTCATGCTGTGATGCCAGAGCTTGTTCTCAGCATCTTCTTGCTCTCATCACCTCTTTCTACTTACTCACTCTTTTAAAATCTTCAGTGAGCACAGTGGAAAGTTGTCTTTATTGTTGAAAATACACTAAATGATAATGGTCTTAATGCAATACAATAAGGTTTTATACTAATAGGAGGAGCTCTGTCTTTTTGAAGAATTGTATTTTTCTTTGGTAAAAAAGAGAGCACACTCAGAAACTATTTTGGCAGCGTAACAAGTGTTTAAGTAACAGTTAAAAATGAAAGATCTCCAAGTAGAGAAAACTATGCCAGAAAAGGGCTTCAGACGGAGACCACAGCTTGAGGTGCTCAGTTATGCTGTGTGCACGGAGCGCAACTCCCACAGCAGGTGAGGCTGGCGGTCCCCACCCCTCAGACACCACTGAAGTACAAACATCCCGCCAGTAATAAGTATGAGCTTGTGCCCTTGACCACACACCTGCAAAGGGGTCTCTTTCGTAGAATTTCCAAAACTCTTCAAACTCCTTTCGGACTTCCTCAGCCACGACGATCCCGGAGGACTGCTCGTTATTTATCTGCACGTAGTTGGCTTTCAGGACTATCTCCACTTCACAGCGCACGTCCTGCTGAAAGGGCTTCCAGCGCTGAGTCACAACCCCGTAGATAGTGAGGTCATCCCCTGGGAGAGAGCACATGTGAGTCAGCAGTGGCGTCACATGCTCAGGGCAGAATTACAAACGAACCACTCCCTACCATAACATAGGGGGTGCGCTCACCCAGAACCAGTCTGGGGGTGAAAGAGCAGCCTGACTCCTGGTGCTGCTCTACAGGTTCGTACATCTGCAGGCCAAAAGGTGAGGTGAGCATTTTTATTTTTAATAATACACCACATGATCATCAGTATTACCCTTCACTGGGAACATGGCTTCCTGCATGATTTACTCACTGCTGACCTGCTCGCCCTCTGTGCCTCCAACTGCTCATTTAGAGAGAAGATGTGGGAACTGCAGCCGGAAAGTGGAAGCAGAATCAATCTGGCATCAGGATGAGCTCATCCTGTGATGCTCAGGTTCCCTGCTTAGTTTCTTTCTTTTTTTTTATGCCCCCCCCACCCGCCCCTGCTTAGTTTCTTACATGTTCATTTTCATTTCCACGTTTGTTAACATTTTACTCATGGCCTCTATTTTCAAATGAGCCAAGGAAGGAATGAACTAAGAAATCAATGAATACCTGTTCTACTTCAAACCATGAAGGCACAAAACAGCAGTTCAGCATGCTCCTTGAGGGTGATTCCTTCCTTCATGAGGAAAATCTCCTGCTCCTGGTTGGCAGAATTTAGGCTTTTATACAGTTCCTAAATGGCTCTGGGTAGTTTATATGTATTCACTGAACACTGACTTCTATGCTTATTATCACACCATGAGCACGTGAATGCTCAGCATTCCTTATGTTGGTACTGGAGAAAAGGGAGCCCAGAACAACAAACCTAATCTCCTAAATTTTCAATCATACTGAATGGAAGATGTCTGACATGCCCCAAACCCAATCACGGTCAATTCCTTCATGCTCACACCTTTGTGCTTAATTATATGCTGCCTGCTGGTGCAAATGCGTCTCCATCTAAACGACCACATCCAGTGCATATCTGCAGAGCTGTGGGCTTCCTGAAGCACAGTATCTGTGATGCTAAGTGCATGTATCTATTTAAAGCATGCTTCACACTGATGGTGACACACAGACTAACAAGGTGTTTCACACGTCTCCAAGATCTTTCCTAAGCTACTACTGCTTGGATGATCTTCAAAGCTGATCAGGAATAATGATCATTTACTACACTGTCTCTGCCCCAAATTTTGTAGATAAAAGTGACTACAGTGACTTTTGTTTTTTTGTTTTTGTTTTCTGGTAGCCAGGAATTGAACTCAGGACCTTGCACTTGCCAGGCAGGTGCGGTGCCACTGAGCTACATCCTGGCCCTGTGAACGTTTATTGGGAATAGTCCTCTGCTGTGGTCATGTGAATGGATTATATTCAGGTTGTTTCTACATTAGCCTACCGGGGAATTTAACTCTAGAGCTAGCACCCATTAGTAATAATCTGAGTTAGAGAAGCACTGATTGTGCAGATAAAGTAGAATACGGAAGGAGGCCAAGAGAAATGACTCTCATCAGATTTGACTTAAACCCCACCTCCACCACTCATTGGCTGTGTGATGCTGGACAAATCATCTAACTTCACTGAGCCTGTTTCCTGACCCACAAAATGAGCACAGACTTACATCACAGGACTATGGTGAGACTCTGCACATCAATATCAAGAACAAAGTAAGTCCTCAAGAAGCAATAGCTATTATGATACTAAGCCCACTTTGTATTTGTAGAGTAATACCTTTAAAAACCCTTGAATGTGTGACTGTTTGCATTTACTCAAATGCTTGTGAAATGGCAGGTTAACATGATCTTTCTCATAAGGTACATCAATAGGCCAAGGCAACAGCTATCCATTTTAAATGTCTGTGTTAAACTATTATTTTCAATGAAGCCAAAACTTTTACTTCTGAACAACCCAGTCTCCTTGCGTGCCTGTCTTTCATGGCATCTTTCCGATTGCAGCCACTCCCATTAGATGTGTCTCTCTGCTCTCCTGTCGCATGGACAGTTGTCACACAAACTCCAACTTCAGGACTCTGCATATTACAAACTGGGGTTCCTACCTAGGCTTATACTATTCACATTTCTCAACTCCCACAGGTTTATAGCTATGGGGAATTGAAAAAATTGCTGTCGATTGACTGCTTCCATTCATCCTTTGTTATTAACGTCATCTGAAAGAAAGACAGCTTAGACTTCTTGCTAGTGCACAATAGTACAGTTTAGAGGAACTGCATGGAAACATCTCCTGCTGCAAACAGGTGAGCACATCCCACAAATCTATCCTGGAGTGGGCACAGGGCAGAGGAACCATCCCCTCCTTTCCTGAAGGCACAGCGAGACGCTTGGGAGTGCCTGACAGTGCCCTGTGATCCCTTGTGTGCGACTGTCCACTGCACTTACTGCACTGCTTCACAGTTGCTTCTGTCACGCTGCGGTCAGTGAAGAGAACCTGGAAGCCAAAGCTGTGGTGTGGACTCCATTCCAGCTCTGAGGCTTAGCTCAGCCCTAGGCCATCAGCTCTGTCTGTAAACACACAGCCTGACGGGGCTCCAGCTACAGCCTGCTCTTCCCTCTGTACCAGGATCTGTTCACAAGCGGAGCAACTATGCTCTGCATTCCCCGGCCAGACATCTCTGGGAAGATTAAAAGTGGCTTTTCCTAACCCTGCATAGAACTCGACACAAGCTCACTCAAGGTCATCTTCGCTGGGCGTGGAGGTACTCATACCTATGGCCCCAGCTACTCATGAGGCTGAGGCAGGAGGACCACGCGCACCCACAAGTTCGAGACCAGTCTACACAACTCAGGAAGACCCAGTCTCAGACCCTAACCCTAACCCTAACCCTAAAAAGAAGCTCAGTCTTACCAGATTTGCAGCTGTCTACCAAGTCATCTTCTAGGATAACCTTCATAGATCGTGGGATACTCCCAACAGACAGCTTTTGAACCTAGCAAGGGAAAGAAAACACACTGAGTATGCTCAAAGACTATGATGGGGGCTCTGGGCTTCGTGAATGTGCACCTGCACCCGGTGTGGTTGCTAACTGAGTTCTGGCCCACGAGCCCTGAGGAGGCGTGTCCCGAGGACTGCCATGGACACCGTTTCCATGGAGACTTAGTGAGATGGAAGGTGCACTGCCCATTTTTCTTCTTCCTGTTCTCTGGCCAGAATACAGATGAGACAGGGCTGTAGCCACTGCCCTGGACTTACAGGAGTCACAAGTGCAGAAAGGTCTGAGCCCAGGGCTCTGACAGGCTACGTCCTAGCCTTTCACTGCTTGCCTCCTGCACATCTAACTGTACCCTGACACATGGCCAGCGGTCTCAAGACTGATCTACAAAGTGATGATCAAGTCCATCTGTATTCAGCTAGTCTTCCCTAACCCTAGCAATTTGATCAAAGAAGAAAACCACTTCAAATCTGTTCCTTTTCTCACCTATTTCAGCATTTACCTGTTCTTGAATTTTTATTTCCTGGTAATCTCTACACCTGGCTGGATGTGAAGACAAGTCTGAGAGGCATGTGAATTTCGAGGAATCACAGCTCTCCACGCTGGGACACGAGGACGGCCGGCAGAAGGTGTAGTACTGCTCAAAGTCAGCCTTGACCGCGAACACGTGCTGGCACTTGGTGCACATGTAATCCCGCTCGAACTCCAGGACCTTTGCCAGACTTGTTCGAATCACTGTTCCAGTGACTGATAAAAAGTGTCCCACATCCTTGGTTTTAGGGATGTGCTCCCTCACCAGCTCAGGACACACCGGCAAACCTGATGGAAAAACAGCAGCACCCACTTACACCTGGAGATCTGACTCTATGGAATATATTCTTCTATTTCCTGGGAAGAAATTACAATTTCAGGGAAACAAATCTTTCTGCCTTAAGAAAAAAAATCAGATGATGAACTCAAGAAATAGAAGAGATTTCAAATAAGAGTCATCAACAGACTCTTTTCAAAGTACATATCTATTATAACTAGGATTTAAAAAAGAACTGATTCTTATGAGAGATACTGCAGTAGGATCTAAATGCGGTATGTAATGGCAACCCCAACTAACAGAGAAAATACTGCCTCTGCTACACAGAAAATAGACTGATGCTCTCTGAGTAAATGACAAAGCACAGTGCTAGAGACGGCAGCCTGATGACCAAAGACTCCGCGGTACCACGCTACAGCTTTCTTCAGTTAGGCTCACAAGTCACTACCTGGAAATTCACCCAACATCACTTTGGCCTTGAAACCTTGTGATTTTCAACATTAAAAAACAGGCAACTGAGAAAGGGCAAAATGCCAAAGGAACGTCTTCTGTGCAAATTCCCTGCTCCTCATGTGACTGATGCGCGTGGGGCTGACGCCAGCTGAGATGGCCGCAGCTGCCTCCGCAGCAGTTTGCCAGGGCGCACCCACTAAGTGCACACTGGGGACCCATCTGCCAGAGCCCCGCGCTCAGAAGCCACCGTGGTGGACACCCCGGCACCTCAAGTTTCTGCGGCCAGCATTCTCCTCCCTGTCGATACCTCCACTCTGGGAGCCTAAGGATCACATGAACAGAGGCAGTAACAGCAATCAGAACTTGGTCCGGAAGGCCTGAGGGGACAGAACGCAAACTGGGTGGACACGAACCTGGTGTGACAGTCACGGGGCCCAGATGCTAATGTTCTGTGTGCGAGACACTCTCCACACACTGCATGCAGTAGGGATAAACAAGGTGGGCACTGCCCACACTTGGCTCTCTGGCTCCTTTTTCTGTGCTTCCAAGGCTGACATGTCTATTTTCAAAGAGCTACATTCTTTATTTACATTAATTCAAACTGTCCCACCTTTTGCCACAAGGGATCCACACTTTTGTATAAAATGATTCTGGGCATCTCTGCTGTATTCTGTGCAGGCTTTACAATTTAACACTCAGAAAACAAACGTATTTCCCTTATTTCCAAATTCCTGGGGAACACTTCATTAAAACATCAAAAATAAAATCTGTACCTCATAGCAGTCCCCCCAACCCCTTCCTACCCATAGCTGCTGGCAAAGACCAATCCCTTTCTGGTTCCATGGACTTACCTATTCTGGTCATCCCATATAAATGGAACCATACAATATGCAGTCTTTCACATCTGGTCTCTTTCACTTAGCAATATATATATCACTACTTCATTCCTGCATCCGGCTGAATAATATTCCATGGTATGTATAGACCATATTTTGTTTATCTGTTCATCAGCTGAGAGACAATTTTGGGTTCATTGGGGGCGATGATAAATAATGCTACTACAAATGTCCTTGTGCAAGTTTTTGTCTGAGTTATTTCTAATTATCTTGGGCATAAACCTAAGAGCTGAATTACTGGCTTATATCGTTATTAAAATAACTTTTAAAAATTATTTTTGTTTGTAAACAGTTCTTAATTGTTCTCTAATGTATATACAGAAGGCTACTCACATGGAAAATAGGATTATCAACCCAATTTGCTTTTTGAAGTACAAACAGAAATCTACCAATAATTACTTCTAAAAAAGATGAGGAAGGTCAACAGGAAAAGAAAAAAATATGGGTTAAGCCAGTTTATTTAAAACAATTTTTCTGGATTTAAAAAATATCCACTGGCCTGAAGAAATATCATTTTTGCATCCCACTTCTACTCCCCATTTTTAGATCCCAGTTCTGCTTCAGATGCAGCTTGATCATTAAGCTTAATTCATGTCAATATGGTAACACTTCATAAAAATTAAGGTCATGAAACCTTGAGTGTTGGAAAGTGTCGCATGTCATTCTGCAGAATGCCCAGCAAAACTGGACTCCCTGAGAAAACTTAGGGCAGTCCTGGGGTTTTCAATGAGATAAAGTAATATGTAATCAATGACATCTTACATAATTGTCATAGACATCTGACCAGCAACAGGATATATCCAGATAAGAGACGAAGAGACAAGCACTGGTCCAAAAAAGAACAAAGCTACTTGTTGCTGTACAAGAGGAAGAGATGCAGGACCTAGGAGACAGCCAAGTCTGAGTCCCAAGGACCAATGGCAAACACACAGTTACAGGAGAAGGTGCCACAGTGGAGGTGGAAAGCCACAGCCGGAAGGAGAGGCAGGGAAGAGTGTGGGCAATGGACTGAGGCTGGAGAACACAAGGCCAGAAGAGTCAGCAGACCCAAGTGGGCAGAGGAACGCGGAAGAGAAACGGCTGAGAGGACCCTCTGCCTGGCCATGAGGCCGCGATGACACTGCTGAGGGCTGTTCAGTGGGACAGTGCTGGAAAGGCAAAGGGGAGCTTCCTGTGCTGAAGAAGGACTGTGCTGTATCTCGCCAAACACTGGGTTATGGAGAGGAGAGTAGGTGGAGGGAAAGGCGAACAGAGTTGAAAGAAGGGCTGTTTCTTCTCATAAAATGGGAACTACCGGAAACTCCCAGAAAGGTGCTCTAGTCCCTGAACATGCTGAGGAGGAGCGCACCCCAGAGGTGCCCGCACTTACAGAACTCGTGGTCAGACTAAGCTGCACCTGAGCTCCCTGCCACAGGGCCAGGATCACACCGAAACCAACAAAATGCTCCTAACCAGAAGAGGAGGCTGCAAGGGAGAAAACCTATTGCAGAAGAAACAAAAGCTCACGGCACTAGGCTCGATTCAGCGCAAGATCAAGGAAAACAAAAACAATCTCAACATACACAATTAATTTTCTAAAATAGCTTTGGAGGTCACTGTGCAGGGTCTGTCACTTGTCTGATGCCTGTATCACTGCCTCTTTATTGTCAGTAGTCACAGACGCTCACAGAGCTACGCAGGGTTGTACTTCCACACACACAGATGCACGGCACAGTGCTGTCTCCACACGCTCTCCCTCCCTTCTTTTGCATGGCTAGTACCCGATACCCAGAGAAGATAGTCAGTACTCCGAGCTGGAGGAGGTGACCGTCAGCTACACAAAGGACACGCCGTTTTGGTGTAAACACCAATCACTTCTGAGCACTCTCAATCTCGTCATGCCACATCTCCTTCAAATCTTTACAGGAGATCCCACGCAGCCATCCCACGGCAGCGCCCTTATGTGGCTCACCTGATATCCTGGCATGAAGATTGTGCTTCAGGGAAACACCCTCGAGCTGAGAAAGGGACTGGAAAACTGCCAGGGCTGACCTTCGCAGGGCGCTATCAAACACAGTCAGCACGTCATCGGGAAACACAGTGAAATACTCCCCAACTTCCATGTTGGTCTCGAAAAGGGTCATGGCATTAACCACCACTGGGTAATGGGCGTCCTCGTCATCTTCCTTCAAGATCTGAACGATGTCACTCTTATGGTATTCCGAAACATACGACTCAAACACTTGGCCCACCAGTGCCACTTGATCGCTATTCATCTTGAAGGCAGGTTACTGAGGAGCAAGGAAGGGTGGCATGACATCTTCCAGATTCAAGACTGCGCACGACTTTCTGGTTATGAATCACCCTGGCTTTGGGTCACACTATAATCACATTATAACCTGAATTCAAACCTTATAATTAGATCTGAGTTATCTGGTATAGTTACATAACATGTGTACTTTAAAAATGAGTGAAGTCAAATTTATTCAAAGAATTAGATGGTACTGATTATGAAAATACAAAATGCATTTCTCCTATCTTCTCCCAAATCTTCCTCCTCACTAATCCTATGTTAATATAATTCATGTAGTATATGTAAAAGGTCCCAAATTTTAATTTGATCACATTCCACAGACACACATCTGCTCTCAAGTACAACCAGTCTTTTGGCTGAAGTCACTCTCAGTGGAATTCTTTGCAAGGGCCATGGTTCTCGCTTTTACTCATACAAGGGCATACCACTTTTCTCTCTCCTTAATTACACACACATACATTCATGTGTATTGATACATAAACGGACCATATACTATTAATCATGCTGATAGTTCTAACAACTAATTCATGATTAGCTTTAGAAATGTATATTTGGAGGTGAATTTGTTTCCGACTTTCTCTTCTTAATCTAGGAAAATTACAAGCTTCAGCAAGAACAGCTGTCAAGAGTATTAAAACAACTAGACAAACTGGAAAGGAAAGGGAGACTATGTCTTTCAATAAAAACAACTGAAAATAAATACAATATATACCATACTTCACCTATTTCATTCCCCTGCCAACCTTCTTTGTAAAAGTTTGCATTTGTAGATAAAAAGGGCCTACCCCTTTTACTTTCATACATATAATCAGATCATAAATCACACATGCATGAGCCCAATTCGATGTCCATTTCCTAATATCTACCATCCACAAAACACTATGCTGGAAACTGAAAAGCACCACAAACGATGCTGTATATCCTGAGAACCAAGACTGATGAACAAAACTGCTCTACTAGAGGTAAAAATACAATACGAATAGGGACACAAAGGACAGAAGGGTTAAATTTACATGCGCTGGGACTGTAACCGTATGGGGCAGTTACAAATGAACTGTCCAAAAAGAAACTCTCATTGGACTGGAAAGAGAACAACAATAGTAGGAGAGGCATACTTCAATTCGACGTATGCCATTCATCCAACTTTACTGAACTAGGCTCAACGAAAATGAAGACACCACAGGCTAAGAATCCGGGGCAACTAGAGGAGGCCAGTGTGAGATTAGGAAATGAATAAAAGTTTACCCAAGAGAATGTTTGACAGTGGATCATGGCCACCACCACCAGTAAGTACTTTGGTTTTAGGTAGATAATATAAATTCAGCCCAGTGGAAAGCAGGAATGGCACTTGGGACAAAAGGATGTGGTCTTTGTTCAAAAAATAAAACAAACCAAAACAACACCACCACACCGGACTCGCAACAGAATCGCTAAGATTCCATTAATGCACACTGAATTCAGAGCCACAAATTGGCAATCTAAGAAAAACTTCACACAGGGCAGGAGGAGGGAGCTGCAGATTCAGAGTTAAAGTCAGAGGAGTCGCGGCCGCCCGGAGACCAGCACTCGCGCTCCGCGGGCGCCGCATCCGGAAGCTCCCCGCAGCTGCAGCTCCCGAAGCGCTCTGCCGGCCGCGACACGCCGCACGGCGCGGGCTTCAGGCACGCACTTTTTGAGGAAGGTCATCGCGCGACGAAGTTCCCATTCCTTTTCTCCTATTGATATTTGGGATCAAAATAAAATCACTTTGTTCTATTTCGTCCTCTTTACCAAAGTGACGGGCCAGAAAGGAAAAGCGCAAGCATAGGGCACCGTTTCTGCTATTCCCACCGCCCAGCTCTGGCCGGAAGCCCCGCCCCGGAGGAAAGCCCCGCCCTCCCGCGGTCGCGCGCCTCTTCCATCGCCTCCTCCTCCCTCTCCACCTCAGCGGCCAGAGCGTTGGCCGCCTCCTCTCCGCCCCCCGCCGGCCCCGCTCCGGTCAGCCCCTGGCCGGGCCGGCGCAGAGCCGAACAGTTCTGGGGCAAAAGCCGCGGGGCTCGGGCTGCTTCCCGCAGGAGACGCGCTCCGCGGACCGGAGGTGGCATCCGTCACTTACAGGCTGACGCGCGCTGCGCAGGACGCGGGAGCGCGGGGCCGGGCCTGGCGGGCGGGGCGGGGCGGGGCGGGGCTGCGCGTCCCTGCGCGTCCCTGGCACCGAGGGCCTCCTCGCGCGCCGCTCGGCCGCCCGGCCGCCGCTCTTCCGGTGAGACAGCGCCGCGGGGGGCGGGGCCTGGCGGGGCGGAGAGGCGGACTCCGGGCTGCGTTTCCGGTTTGTAGCTGAGGATCTGCACCGTGATCCGCAGAGCTGGTGTTTGAATGTGGGACAAGGTGTGGACCTGAGGCCCCCTCTCCACTCGAGTATGTGTCAGCAGCTGTTCGAAAGGCTTTCTTCCCACAGTGGCCTCACCCTGATGTCCACAGTCGGTAGTTAAAAGCTGCTGTGGGGCTGTCCTTAGGCTGACTGTTCCTGCGATCTGTTTGTCTCCCTCCCTGCCTGTAGCCTCGGAAGGAGTTTTGAGATCAGTGTGTTTGACTTGCAGTCTGTATTCTTTGTCAGAGCTTTTTTGACTTGAGACAGGGCTTCGCTATGTAGCCCAGGCTGGCCTCAAACTCATGATCTACGTAGTAGCAATAACTAGTCATGTGACTCTTGGACAAAGTAAGCCTTTCCCTTCATTTAGATACTTGTTAACAGATTTGATCTTTCGCCAGCTCTGTCCTTGTCACATTTATCCCAACGTCAGTGGATTTGTGAGGAAACCTACTTTTTGATGCTAAGTGAACATTTAAAGTTTCAATTTCCAGTTGTTCTTTGCTAATACATAGAACTAATAGAAAGTTCTATAAACTATCTATACACTACTAGTTCTATAAGTATAAACTAAACTAATAGAAATCAACTAATAGAAATAGTTGATTTTTAAAAAATTAGTGTTTGCATTTTGTAAAAGCCATTTATGAGTTCTAGTGCCCTTTTTTGTAGATTTCACCAAATTTTCTACACAGCAGAATTTATTGTCTGTGAATAAAGAGTTTTACTTCCTTTCCGTGCTGGATACCTTTTGTTCCTTTTTGCACTGGCCACAAGTTCCCCCGAAATGGTGATCAAACATGTTGGGAGAAGACAGCTGCTCCTTGTTTCTGATCTTAGAGGAAAGACTTTGTTCAGACTTTGCTTTGAATCTTAGGAATGTTAGGACTTTTTTGCACCTGAACCCAGGGCCATGCTTGTGCCAGGCAAGCAGTCTACCACTGAGCTCTTAATTCGAGCCCAAGCTGGAGGTTTGCGTACATACTCAAGCTGAAGTGAAACGGTCATTTGCCTTTTTTTTTTCCTTTTTTAAATTGCACCTGTGCGCCTCTTAAAAAGGTATATTTAAGTCCTAACACAGGACCTGAATGAATAGTACCTTTTTCTTTTTTTCAATAGTGAGGTTTGAACCCAGGCCCTCCTGCCTGCTAGACAAGCACTGTACCACTGAGCTACGTCTTCACTCTCAGTTTTCTGAGACGGAGTCTCCCTGAGTTAGCTAGGCTGGCCCTGAATTTGCCATTTTCCTTTCTCACCCTCCCTTACAGGCATGTGGCCCATGCCCAACCACGTGAATGTGTTTCTATCCAGGGGCCTACAAAGGTAATTAAGTTAAAAGTATGCCAGTAAAGTAAAACCTAATCCAATATGATGGTGTCCTCATAAAATGGGTACTGTGCCATATGTGTAATCCCAGCTACTCCAGAGGCTGAGGCAGGAGCATTTTGAGTTAAGGCCATTCTGGGCAAGACCCTTTCCCAAAATAAAGAGGGCTGGGAATGTAGCTCAGTGGTAGAGTGCCTCTGAGTCTAACCCCCAGTGCTGCAAAAACTAAAAGGAGAACATTGAACACAGACACACACCCAGGAGAACACCCTGTGGGGAGACGGAAAGGTAGCTGCGGGAGCCAGGGAGTGAGGCCCTGTCTGCCTGGGGAACTGGCGCTGAGGCCTCCAGGAGGTGGCAGCAGTCTCGGCCCCTTGCCTTGCCGGCAGCCTGGGAAACTACTTTCTGAGATTTGAAAGTGGAGTCAGCTTTACTGTTCTGAAATAATTCCCACTTGGTCAGGATGTATTGTCCATTCAGCAGGTTGTTAGATTTGCTAGTGTTTTGCTTAGTTTTAGTGTGTCGTTGGGATGGCGGTCTGATTTTGGTGTGCTGGTGTTTGGCTTGTTTTTTATTAATGTGATGCTAGCTGCACAGCAGGAGTTAGGAAGTTTCCCCATCTTTTTTGGTTTTCTAGGAAAAAAATTATGTAAAATTTGTATTGGTTCCTTAAATATTTGTTAGAATTTATCAGCAAAGCCATGTGAACAAGGAAGGAAGATTTTAACTACAAACTCTTTAACAGATAACCATTATTTCATCTGTATTTCTGAGTTTTACTTGTTTGCCTCCCAAGCAATTTGTCTCATCTTAGTTCTGAGCAGGGGTCGCTTGTAATATTCCGTTATCACCCTTTTCCTATCTGTGTGATGGGCACTGCTGTCCACCCTCATCTCCATGACCAGGGTTTGCTGCAGGTGGTTGTGTCAGTCACTGCAACAGATCCCATGGACTGTGGAGGGGACAGCAGTCTGGAGGCAGAGGTCAGAGTGCCCTGAGCCGCTGAGAGCTGCTTTCCTGGCCTGTAGACCTTTGTGCCCTTGTGTGTCTGTCTCCCCTCACAAGGACATTCATCCTGTGCTATCAGCACATCGCCCTCCTGGCTCCGCATGCAGTCACGGGGCCCTGGGCTGCAGCCTCTGACTTCGGGGGAGACCCACTGAGGTCTCTACTCCAGGAGCGCAGCTGGTGTCCTCCCCTGCTTAGCTCCTCAATGGAGATGGCGTTGGCCTGGAAGGCCTTCAGGAGCAGCTCTCTTCCTCTTCAGCTAGCACCAGTGGAGGGAGGGACCTTCCCCAGGTCCTTCCGTGTCCTGTGTGAGTGAGCATGAGGTTCTTGGAGGAAAGGCATGCATGAGGGTGAGAATGTTTCTGTGGTACTGAGGATGGGACCTGGGCCATTCTCACTGACCTACATTCTCAGCCCTTTTTCTACTTTGTTGTGAGACAAGGTCTGACTAAGTGGCTGATTTGCCAAGTTGCCCATCTGGGCTTGATCTTGTGCTGCCTTGGCCTCTCAGAGACCTGGGATTACAGGTGTGTGCTATGTGCAAACCTTTATGTCAGAGGACCCTAGAACCTTACACTCACACACCGACACTTGCGTTTAACCATTGATCAAAAATTTCAAGGTTAATCTTCCTACCACCTTCTGTGCATTTGGAGCTGTCTGTCTCAGGTAGGCAGGAGTTTGGGTCCAGTTCTTTTTTTCAGGCCTGTCTCTGTATTTCAGGGTGGATGAATTTAACTACTTTAATTTCCAGTTTGTCCAGTTTTTATCTTGTAGGATGGAAGTGACACTCTCCACCTCTTTGAGCTAAAATGTTCCATCCTTTTTATGTTTAACCTGTCATTTTCTTTTAGATGTCTCTAACTGGCAGCACGTACCGTGTCTGGGTCTTGTTTTTATTCTACCCGACAGCCTGCCTCTACCTGAGAAGGTTAGGTGGTTAGAAGGTCTACATTTACTGTGATTACTGAGGTATTTGCTTTCTTTTGGTTTTTGTGGTTTATTCTTTGTCATATTTTTGCTTTTGTTTCGATCTAGTACTTCTTATAATTCCATATTATCTTCTTTGTTGGCTTTTTAGCCATAGTTCTTTGCCTTATTATTTCAGTGGCTATGTTAGGGTTGTAGAATGCATCTTTAACTTACCATGTCCTGTCTTTGAAGTGGAATTATACTGCTGACAGCAGACCCCTCAATAACCCCATTCACTTCTCCCTCCCAGCACTGAGGCTGTTGCTACATCTTATTTGTGCATTGTATCAGCCCTATGACACATTATTGTTTAAACTGTCAGTTATCTTTTAGAGAGATTCACATAACAAGAAGATGCTCTTAGCTGGTGTGGTGCTGCCATATGCCTGTAATCCTAGCATTCTTGGAGGTTGAGGCAGGAGAATTACAAGTTGGAGCTCAGGGTGGGCAACTTTGTAAGACTCTGTCTCAAAAATAGGCTGCAGATGTAGCTCAGTTTGACAGCCCGGGATTCAGGGATTCAGTACCATTAGAAAAGGAAATACATGTCATATATTTATGCACGTAGTTACCATTTCCAGTTTCTTCCATTATTTCAAATATTTTTGCCCTTCTTCCAACTTAAGACTTCAGTTACACATAAAATTCTTTTGATAACATTTTCCTTTGACCTAAAATTCTTCCGTTATTTTGTAGTGTTTTGGGTGATGAATTCAGCCTTTGTGTTTGTGAGAAATCTCCTTAGAGAGCATAGAGTTGCTGGTTGACAAGATTGTCTTCTTGTAAGACACGAGAGAAAGCTCCACTGCCATCTTCCTTGCACAGATATAGGTCTCTCTCTCTCTCCCTCTCCCTCTGTCTCCATTCTCCTTTAAAATTTACTGAAATTCTTTTGAATTTTTCTGTACTTCATTCTGAATAGTTCCTATTTCTATAAGAATTACTTGACTGTCTTTTCTTCCAGTGTCTGATCTGAGGGTAAATCTCTTCATGTAGTTTACATTTCAGCCATTATACCCTTCTCTTTACAAGTTCTGTCTGGATGTTTTAAGTCTTGTCTCAGACCATCTGGGTTCTCTCCTGCCTTTGAGTTCTGCACTTGATATTACAGCCCTGCACTCACCCTGGGGTTGCGCACCCTGTAATTCCTGCGGTATGCTCCCTTAGAGCTTATTCCACACCTCACCATATCACCATCTGAT